GAGGCTCCAAGGCTGAGGCAGTGAGGGGAGCATCCCGAGAGGCTCCAAGGCTGAGGCAGTGAGGGGAGCATCCGGAGAGGCTCCAAGGCTGAGGCTGTCCGGGAGGAGGCAGGGTCTGATAACGTAATGTTTCAATGTTTCAGTGTATCTTTTTGATGTGTAAGTGTATCTGTACCCAGGCATAGTTGAAGCCATGGGGTTGAGGCTGCAAGGTTTTCTCTGAGGAAACAGAACATGAGAATCACGGCTTAAAGTCAGTCCTGCGTGGGGCTTTGGGCCACTGTTAGATTGGATTTCAGCAGGTATAGAATCTTGGAAATTGTATCTGATTTTCCCAAGGAAAACACCCTTATCACAAGCCCAATGATCTTAACTCACAAATGCAAGCAGGATTGGGAGGAGTCTGCATGTTTCACACAGCAAGGACTTCTGGATATGACAATGCTCAGAGAAAGCTATGGCCTAAGCTCTGCTTGGCTGTCCTCTTCCTGAGCTGATGTCATCCTCAGACTACCTAGGGAGGGCAGCAGGACCATGGCCTTCCTGTCACGGTAGCCTCTCAGGCCAGGTGACCCACTGCCTCTGTGAGAAATCCCAGTTCCAGGCCAGCTCTGGCCCCTAGACCACTTCTAACTATGTCAGAGGTGACCGTGGACCCTGGATACATAAACGTCTCTGGAGCTTTCTGGACTGCACAGTCACAAAACGCAGTTCTGATTCTCCACACCCTTTGTTGTATAGCTCTGAGTGCAGACGTCTCTTTCTGGATATCATGTCCTAGAACCCTGAGGCCAAACGCGGAGACTTAGGGGCGGTTCCCATGCTGGGTAAGGAGGTGTTTGGAGATGAGATCGAGTGGAGTCTAAGGAACAGGAAGGCAGTGGGAAGCACTCCGCTGTGTTCTATGTTTCCTGACCCTCTGAGCCAGGGTTAAGACCGCGTCGTGAGGCATCCTGATGTTGACTCAGGTGGGCTACCATGTAATGAAACAGGAAGTTTGACTGGATGCTTCCTAGCAACCCAGAAGCTCTACAGTAGGATCCTCTGGGACGGGGCTTTTGGGGTACATTAATATCCCGTATTTGGGGAGCACACTTTGGGGAAGGGTTAATGAAAAAATCCAGAGCTGCTGTCTCGATCCCCCCACACTTCAAACAGGTTTCTTTCAAAGCACACCAGACAAATGGATGGCTGGCCTGTCCCTAAAGCCCTCCAGGGAAGGGTTCCCTAAGTCAGTGGTCCAGAGCCTAGTGACCCTCTCCACGGGTAAGTCTGTTCTTGCATCAAGCTTCAATTCATATCTCTGTGTGCCTCTGCCCCAAACACTGACCATCCAGGACCGTGTTGAAAGGAAAGGAAATTTCAGATATGAAGAGAAGCATCCACGTCTAATTAATGTCTGCATTACGGCCTGATTTTATGCATGAGTGAGGTATGGGGCTGACTCTAAAAGAAGCAATCAGAGTTGGGTGGTGGGCGGTGCACACCTTTAATCCCAGCACTCGGGAAGCAGAGGCAGGCGGATCTCTGTGAGTTTGAAGCCAACCTGGTCTACGGAGTGAGTTCCAGGACAGCCAGAGCTACATAATAGAGAGACCTTATCTCAAAAATAAAAGAAGTAATCAGAAATTATTCATAGTTTTTAGTGATGCTGTTAGTGTGACCCTGGCCTGCCTCTCTCAAGCATCGCTAGGCGGATGTCTTCTGTTTCATAGAACTTGTCTGTTGTTTACCTCCTGTGCCCAGAGGCTGGCCGCTGGGGGAGCGTCTCAAGGAGCCTCAGTGAGCTGCAGAGATTCTTTTCCCTTCAGAGGGAGGTTGTTGGTGAAAGACAGTGGGTTCCTGGTGCAGGACACTGTTGTAGGAGGACCCTGGAACAGTTGTATAATGTCCCAGATTAGTCATGGCCACCGCAGAGGTCCCTGAGGGTCTTTGTATAGAGAGAGCAAGACAAAATGGCACTCTGTTGTCAACAGGCCTTCGGTCCCAACCCAGAGGCTGACCTTTGGTGATGTAGGCTGGCTCCTGAGATAGCTCCTTTGCCTGAGCTGGTTTGTGGTACATACAGATGCTAAAGCAGTCCTGGGGGTGGCTTTCCTGTCCCTTCTTAAGACCACAGCCAGATGGTGATGTTCCTGGTATAAACGGAGGAACAGTGCCACAGCCAGAGGAGACGGGCGAGTGGGAAGTCTCCACCCTGTGTCCTGTCTCACCACACCCCCAGTCCAGGGCTGAGGGGAGCAGGGTTGGCCAGCTTGTCCCCTGGATGTAGGTCCCAACCTCTTCACACTTCCCTAGCTCTTAGGACAAGAGGCAAGGGTCAGCCACACTGCCCTCCATTGAGAAAATGGTTTTGTTGTAGTTTTCTTATGTAGACAATTCTTGTGAAGAAGAGTTAATTATATAATGGTCCCCCAGATACCCACCAGCTGTTACCAACATTTTGTCAATTTTGTTTCATTTATTCCCTCTCACTTGTTTTTATATTTTCTAGATTATTTTAAATTAAATCATCGATATCATTTTGCCTGTAACTACCTCAGTATGTATCTCATTTAATAAGGATTATTATTATTATGCTGATCTCAAGTCTAACAAGATTAACCATCTTTCTTTAAATTATCTAGTGCTCAGCCCAGGTTCATTTTTCTTGAGATTATTAACATCTTTTTGGATTTTATTTGTTGATGTAGGATCCAATCAAAGTTTGCATTTATTAGTTCCTGCCCTAAAACATCCCCTACTCCTTTCCTTCCCCACCCCCCTATGCCATCAATCTGAAGCTAGGTCGCTGTGGCGCCCAGGCTCCACTCTGAGGAACTGACTGGCTGGGGGCAGTGTTCCTCCTTGGTGTGTGTCTTGCTTCTCATTGGCCTCCTCTGTGAGGGCCTGAAGCTGCCGTGGAGTCCTGCTGACTCTCCCCGATAGCCCTTGAACCCACCACCTGCCCTCAGCTCAGTCCACACTGCCTTCACACTGCCGCAGGGTGATGATTCTAGAATGCATGTTGGGTGCTGCTGCTCCACTGTTTAAAATCCGTCAGTAACTTGACATGCTCTGAGGAGTAGGTTCCAGTTCCTTGGAACCATTCACAGCCTCTGTGACTCAGTGTCTCCAGCCTTGTCTTTTCCCCTGTGCTGTTGATCTCTGCTAGCACCTTGAACCCTGGGGTGTCCCAGTGCTGGTCCCTCTGCCTTGTCTGGCTGTCTCCCCGTCCTTCCCGCCGAGTCACTGCTGAGATGCCCCTCCCCAGCCTGTGATACCACAGCAGCCATTGTCCCGCTTTGCCGGTCTCCTGCACTGGGCTGCTGGTCTTGGAGAGCAAGGGCTGTGTTTGTCTTGTTCCATGCTGTGTCTCCAGTGCCTGGCACTGACTGTCTTCTGCTTGGCCAGTGCATGGGTCAGTGGTTCCGCAGAGACTGAGGCAGGGGGCTGCTCAGAGAGGGGATGTGCATGCGTAGTGCTTTATACCTGGGAAATCCTAACAACACTAGTAACCTGGGCTGCTTTTCACGATTCCTCCTAACAGCTTAGAGACTGAAACTGAAGCTCAGGTTTGCCTTCTTGTTAATTATGGATATTGATAAATGGGCAGTGTGCATACCCAAATTAACCTTTTTAATGCTTGGTACATTTTCAGTTTTACCATATGCCATACCCTTGATTATAACAGAGTCTGTCTGTGCAAAGAGACGTGCTTGGGGTGAAGTTGGAGCTGAACTGCAGAGTACATCTGCAGTATTCAGAGGTGTTCTGCCCTGGCTCCTCGGAGGAGGACCGCGTTAGAGGCCTGTCACCCTGTCTCTGCAGGCTGTTTGGGGGCTTGGTGCTGGACGTCAAGCGGAAGGCTCCCTGGTACTGGAGTGACTACCGGGATGCGCTCAGCTTACAGTGTCTGGCCTCCTTCCTCTTCCTGTACTGTGCCTGCATGTCGCCTGTGATCACCTTTGGGGGACTGCTGGGCGAGGCCACTGAAGGACGCATAGTAAGAGCTTTTTGTCATCTCTAATGGCCCAAGACAAGACTTCAAATCTTGTGGTGGCATCCAAGTTCTCTGGGGACACCTTACGTAGTCAGTGCTGAGGAGACGGGGTCCTTTGTCCTGAGTGACTGGGTTTTCTGACCTATGGAGGAGACCAGTTCTGCCTCCCACGTATATACCTTCTGCTTGTACGTCACTGTTAGCTGGTTGCCTAGGTGAACTGCTCATTTCCCCAAGAATGGAAAATGGATCCACTGATAACATTTGAAAACAAGATTCAGTCACCCTGTGTGATAGGGTGTTGTATGAATGACATTGTGCCTTTATATATCTTTGAATACCGAACTGAGCTGAAGGATAAAACTTAGATGAGGAATCATGGAAGATGGTTTGGGTACCTGAATTGTTAAAGTAGTATTTGTTTGCGAGAGCTTTAGGCCCTGGGTACCCCCACTCTTGCTTAGAAGCAAATGATTGTCTAGGCATGGAGCAGCTGAGTCGGCGTAGGTAAGGCAGCTCCTGTCTGTGGACGGCCGTGGACTCTGATTTTTTCTCCTCCTCAGAGTGCAATTGAATCCTTGTTTGGAGCATCCATGACGGGGATTGCTTACTCCTTGTTTGCTGGGCAGCCCCTCACCATCCTGGGGAGCACCGGGCCAGTCCTCGTGTTTGAGAAGATTCTGTTCAAGTTCTGCAAGTAAGACATTGTTTTCCTGACGGTTAATGGACGTGGCTGCCACCTGCCAAAGCTGAGTACCAGCTCCGTACAGGCCCACAGCAGACACAAACCTGAGGGGCCGAGTCTCTAGCCTGCCATCCTCCCACAGTTCGTGTAGCCGCAGGCCTCCTCCCCTCCAGAGCCCTGCTTAGTGTCTCCTCACCATCACTGAAAGTCTTTACATCTTTAGTCTCTTAGATGTGTCAGTTTTGAGATGTGTGTTTATGTATTGTATGTGTACAGGCATTTTGCCTGTGTGCATCATGTGCACAGTGCCAATGGAGATCAGAGGGGACATTGGAGCCTCTGGAGCTGGAGTTACGTGTGGTTGTGAGCTGGGAATCAAACCCGGGTCCTCTAGAATTGCAGCCAGTGTGCTTAACCATTGGGCCATCTCTCCAGCTGTTTATTTTGAGCTAAGGTCTCTGTGTAGCCCAGGTGACCTTGTGCTCACGTTCCTCTTGCTGCCATCTCCTGAGTGCTGGGTTGCAGGCTGCACGGCCATGCCCAATATCCTAACTGACGCAGACTCCCTCCCTTTTATGTTTTAGGACAGTTTTTTTTTTTTTTTTTTTTTTTTTTTTTTTTTTTTTTTT